GTCCAGCCACCTCCAGCCCACATGGCTCCCTGCTATGACGGACTGTAGTTCCCCTGGAATTGTAAGTTCAAATAAACTCTTCTTTCTATAAATTGCTCTGGTCAATGTGTCTATCATAGCCACAGAAAAGTGACTAGTACAGTAACTGTTACCAGGAGTGGGGTGTTGACTGGAAAGTACCTGAACATGTGTGGTATTGGAACACTGTGGAACACTTTGGAAGTTTGGCCTAGGAAAATCCTTGATTGCTGTAAGTGGAGCCTAACAGGCCATTCTAGTAGGGGCTTTGAAAAAAGTGGTGCTGAGAAGAATGTAGTTCCCGAGGGAAATAAGGACTTAAGCAGCACTTGGGATGTTTTGGCAAAGAGTCTGGCTGGAGCCTGCCCTCGACCTAAATGATTGCCTGGGGCTAAGTTGAAAAGCAATGGACTAATTTTTCTGGTGGAAGAAATTTCAAGACAGCCTAATGTAGAAATGGTGGCATGTCTATTAATGGTGAATATTATACAGATTTACAGGGAAAAAGAGCAAATGGGGCAGAAAGAAATAAAGAGTGTACAGGATGGATTGAAAAAGAGCCTTAGGAAGATAAATATTGGAGCCTTGGCATGTGATGGAGAGGATCCCATTGATAAGGATATTAAAGTGATTAAGGAGGGGCCTAGAGGTTCAAACTTGAACAATGGAGAGAGTGCCTCGATAGCAAGACCACATCCAGTTAAGCCTCCGACTTGTGAAAGGAAAATGCTGCAGGTTCCACTGAAGAGAAGAGCTTCTAAAACGGATAAAGGAGCCTGAGGTCCATCTAAAACTAACAGTCAGACTTGACAGTGTTGCTCACCTGGTGCTGGCTTTAGAGGAATGAAAGATGGAAGAGTGAAGGTGTCGTCAATTCTTCTCCTGAAGTTTCAGAGAACCTTGGAAGCCAGGTAGGATGAAGTAGAGGTTCCCCTGCCTAGAAGAGGCACTAGTAGGCCATTGTGTGAAGCTGTGAAGGTGAAGCCTGGTTGGCAATGGAGACCCCAAGACGTTTGTGATGCCAGAGCTGTGAGGCATCTTCCAAGAAGACTTGCACACAGGGAGTGGTACCAGCACAAGAGAGAGATGTATGTTGCATGCAGCAAATGTAAAGGGGCTGAGCCATCTAAGCCCTTTGGAAGCAAAGTCCCAGAAGTTGGATGTGGAACTACTGGATTTGTTGTTTGACCTGCTGGTTTTCGGTCTTGTATTGATTCAGGATTTCCTTACTATGCCTCCATTAATCCCTTTTGGAATGGTAATGTGTATTCAGTTCCACTGTATGTTGGGAGTATGTAATTTGTCTTTTGATTTTATAGAGGCTTACAGTTAAGATATTTACCTGAGTCCAGAAGAGACTGTGGACTTTTGAATAGTATTGAGACTGATAATGACTATGGGGACTTTGAAAGTTGGACTAAATACATTTTGCATTTTATATGATCATGACCCTATGGGGCCCAGGGGGTGGAATGTGGTGGTTTGAAACAAGATTTTTCCATGTAACTCTGACTGGCCTGGTACTTGTCGTGTGGCCCCCAGGCTAGAATTCACAGCAGTCCTGTTTCAATTTCCTGAAGGTGTTCACTACCACACTCGGCCCCTTCACACTTTTTTTAAAATTTTATTTATTTTTATTTATTTTTAAATATTTTATTTATTATTTTTATTTTATGTATATACGTGTACTGCCTGCATGTAGGTAAGTGCAC